GGAGCCCCCCGAGGTGCAGGAGGCCGAGCGAGAGCTCCGCGAGGAGCTGCAGAGGGCGAGGGACGAGTACGGCATGGCCACAGGTACCTGGGGGGTGTCCAGAAAACATGCTGTTATCCTCGTTGCCGAGCTCATCTTCGTGGGATTCTGTTGCCTTTACCTAGAAAAAAAATCCTAGGTTAGGTTCTCATTTGTGCAAAACTTCCTGGTTTCCATCGTTGCTCACAGAGCGAGGCTGAAACGCCACTTGCTTTGAAACCACTTTGTCCCCTTAGAAATGAAATGCAGGAGAAAACCCATCAAGGAAAGCCCTGAGCAGTTTTCTGGGGCATCCAGGGCATTTCAGCACTCTGGCAAACCCGTGCTTGTGTTACCAACTCTGCTAGTCCTCAAGGGCAGCTCCTGCCCACACAGTGAAGTTAGTTTACTGTATATCACAGCAAAGTACCCCAAAATGCATTATCCACCAGCATCACGGTGGCTGTAGCATTAACTTCACCCAGCGTCTACATTCAGTTACAACAGCAGCTCTGCTTATGCTTACCTGAAAAAAGGAGACGCAAAGCTTTTGGCAGGGATTGGGTTTGCCTAACAGTGGTACTCCAACACTACAGGTGCCATCTCCTCCTTGCAAAGGCAACTGGAGATCCAAGAATCCCAGCTTCGGAGAATCAAATCTGAAAATGAAATGCTCCAAAAGAAGCTCAGAGAGCGAGAAAATCAGCTACAAGCCATGTCTGCCAAGGTACGGCCCTGAGAGCACGGTGGTGATCGTTGTGAGGAGAGCTGGCAGCGGGGGATGCGGGCTTTAGGCAACAGTTCCCTGTCTCAGAGACAGGAGGTGCACCTGTGAACTGCAAAACTGAAGTTTAAAATATTTTCTCTTAAGTTTTGCAGTCTGAGAGAAGAACGGAAACACGAAGATATGATGGTGACAATAGAGAAGGAGAACTGCAGTCTTCGACAGGTACATGCGGTGCAAAGCCGCTATAGAAAATTCTTGTATTAGCTGCTTAGCTGGGCTTGTTTTAGGCTTGGGGGAGTTTGCCACATTAAAAAAAAAAAAAAAAACAAAGAAAACCCCACTCAATTCAGTAGCTTTAGAGAAAACACAGGTAACAACAGTTACCAGTGCTGGCAAGGTTGTTAGTCTGTAGACTCTGCTCAGGAAATACAAGAAGCATTTGGACCAGATACTGGGAAGATGTGGCCAAGCCTGCTCGGTTTTTCCTCACTTACACGGCTTGATTTATGCTTCTCCCCAGGTTGTTACAGAACAAGAATCCAAACTGGCTGAGCAGAACAAGCTGATCAGTGAGTTACAGGAGACGGTCTGCCAGCTACAGGCAGAGGTTCTGAGCAGCCGGTACCACATCCAAAAGCAGCAACGGGCCCAAGAGGCAATCCAGAGCCAAGCCGAGACACTGCAGCACAGGGAGCTGCAAACCAGAGTGGCACTGGAATGCATCACCAGCAGGGTAAGTGGAGCCTCCTTCACTTCACACTCCCACCTCCCTCCTGGGACACACTGCAGCCATTTCAAGCAGAGAATGTGAAAGCTTAGAGACATTCTTGGGCAGAAGCACAGCAGGAGAGGTAGCAGGGCACAGCAGTCCTTTGATCTCAGGGACCAGCTTCCCTTTGCAGCCACGGGGCCAGAGGAGCAGGAAACTCAGTGCATTTGCTTCCCAGCTTTTTGATACGCAGCTCTTATGTCACTGATAAAGCAAACAGGCCTTGAGCCCTTGAGAAACTCGAGTTCAGAACAGTTACACCACCAGATTCCCAATATCCTTCCAGACTCAAAGGAACAGCTATCACCTTAAAGCCATTTCCCGCAGGGTGCCTGGTAGCAAGCACAGAGCCCAATACCTGGGAAAGGGACTCAGTCCACCCAGAAACACATCACTATCACAGGACTTGCAGTGAAACCCAAACTGCCCCTAATTCCACATAAACAGACTTTCCCTTTCATCATTCACTTGTACTTCGTCCAAGTCTGACGGTGTAGTCTCTGTAAATCCATGCAAATGCCAAAAAATGGTATATAAAAACTAAACATACCTACTTTCCTCTTTTATCAAAAGTTTGAAAGGTATCGAAGCAAAATAATTCAGGCTACATTCAGTACGATAGGCAGCAAGCCTCCCCAGGCAGAGCTCACGGATGAGGAGGTGCTGGAGGCAATGCAGGTACGTGGCTCTTTCGAACTCTGCTTCTAGCAGCTGGCAAAAGATCGATAAGAGAACACTTTGCAGTAATGCTCTCCACCTCTTTACATATCCCTAATTTTCAGAAAATAATTAACGAACGGATGGAGTTCCATCAGATGCTGAAACAGAAGGGTGTCAAGGTCCCACCGCTCCTCAACCTCGACATGTCTATTTCATCGCCTACCAGTGCTAAGGGAAGGAGAAAGAGTCCCGCAAGGTAGCATCTTAACGCCTGAAAACAGCCAAGTCAGAATATGTCACCAACTTCAGGCTCCTGTTTCTTGGGTTTGAGATGGTGACTTACTAACACATTAAACTCACTTTACTGAAATCAAGTTCTGTGGAAATATGTAATTCAATTGTTTCAGCTGACTCAGAGCACACTTCACTGTAAATCACTGGTCTGTAGAAACATTTGACTTCCCAGGGAAGGCTGAAGCACTACTAAGGACCGCTTGGCTACAAGGAGCTAGAAAGCGTTAAGTGACTATTTTTGCAGTACACAATAGCTGCTTGGGCAAGTTTGTATAGTTATATGACTGGAAAATTCACCAGTGCCAAAACAAGTGAGAGTGCCATATGACCACAAGAACTGTTTTATTTTTCCATTCAATATGCAAGTCCCAACATGTGGATGTATTTGACACGGTATCTGGAAGTTCAGTCAGTTAAAAATGATACAATCTGTAGGTCACCCTAGCTTAGGGAGAGGTTTGCGTTCGTACAGGTAGTAGCCCAGGTGTAAAAGTCACCCACAGACTGTGAGAATCAGAACCAGACTCCCTGTATTTTGGAAGGTGTCCCCAACACTCTTCACGTGGGGAGTGTGACAGAAAGCTCCAGGAGGGTCACTCTGCACAAGAGCGCTTGCATTCTGGGGAGAGAGGAGCTTGAGTAGTGTTGATGTAAGGCAGCGTCAGCCCTCTGAACAGAACTGAACTTCATGAGCAAGAATAAATTCAGTGCTCGATCAACAGTCACTCAACGGGTACACAACGAGGTCACTACAGCTGGAATTTCCACAAGGATGGACGATGGCTCTAAAACGCACTGGGACACACAAACCCCTGCAGTCAGTTCAACTGACTTCACTTAAAAATGGAAGCCGTGTTAACGTCTGAAACAGAAACCCATCACTTGAATACTCATTCCTCAAGTTCTGACATGAATTAAATTTTTGCAATTACTCCAGATATGAAAATAAAATTATGCAGAATGAGATGTTAGTGAAGCAGTTTTGCATTCTGTCTTCTATATTGGTATTCAGCAGGTGACTTCGTTTCAACACTGTCACCTACTGGATTTTCTCAGTTTAGCTGTTAACATCATAATTCAGCTGAAATATACCAGGAAGAAATACTGATCTTGCAGAAAAATGACTGCACTCATTTTATAAACATGAAGATGTCACAATGATTTTCTCTATGGTTAAGCATTCTGACTTCCAATAACTTCTCTGCCTTCAAGTTTGCATTGAAGATGCTGTTATCTCTACCTAGTCAGAATACCGATGACTTTCTATGAAGGCTGAAAGAATGCAATACTCCTTACTGTAGCTTGACCAAACTTTAAATCAGTTTTTACATACCCAGGCAGGATGCACGGCATCTTTTCTTTAAAAAACCGAACCACCTCACTGTGTACAAGTTGCGTTGTTGAATATGGAAAAAATAAAAAAAGAAAATGGAACAATTTTCTTAGCTTTGACAGCAGCTAACGTACTACAGTCAGAAGAGAGGAAACTGTGGTTAGGTCAGTTTTTGAAGGGTAAAGTACTTTCAAGTTTCCATCTGTGTCCACCACTCGAACCTGCTCCACTCCCAATGGAAAATTCATCAGCTGTACACTTTGGCTGGGCTTCAAATTCACTGGTCCACAAAGAGCATCAGATTCGTCATCCGAGCCAGAGTCTTCCTTATTTTCCAAGGTAAATCTGTTCAGTTCTGCAATTTTCTGTTAAAAGCAAAACAGAAAACAAGATTAATTCTTCAACAACTTTCCAAGGTGTGTATCTGGCCAGCCTCTGGAGGAACATCTGCACGAAAACGTTCTTCAGTGGGTCAGAATCTTTTAGGAAACTGAAAAGGCTTTCGATGTTCTCACTCCTGTGCTCTCCAGGAGGTCCCGCTCTGCTGAATAGTTCAATTTTTCATGTTTAACAGAGAACTCGTGCTTTGTCAAAGGACTGGATTCTAAGCAACAAAAGCCTGCTGTAGAATCACCACTGATGAGTTTGCTTGCAGGCCACTTGAAATGGTCTCTGTTACCACCTTGTGTCAACCACACAAATCAGTTAGCGTTCACCAACATGTTCCAAAGGTTATGTTAACTGGATGAGAGAAAATACATTTATCTTGCAAAAGATTTCACAGCACACTATCTTGTACTCACCATATACCATTTTACCCTTTTCAGTAAGGAAGCTTTAATTAAAAGCAAGCATGCTGAATGGCACTTAATGAGACTGTCCTGCTGCTAATACAGTATCTGAACGATAATTCTGTAATAATGACAGGACCAAGCAAGCTAATTGTCAGGCGTGCTGAGGTGAGAAACCTCCCTAAAAGAATTTATTGGCAGCAGCTGAAGCCTTGAGCTCACTAACAAGGGGAAGGTGTTGAAAGTCAAACCATAAATTTACAATTGTGGTAACACAACGTTATTTACTCTGGTGTGTTTTGAGGTCTGCTAGTTGCTCGGGATATGAGAATATAAAACCTTTTATGATACAGCAAAATGGAAGAGTAAGTAAAGGAGCAGGAATAACAACAATAATAGAAACCTGCTCTATTCTTCTGAATACATGTGAGCAATGAAACATTTCAGTGAGAAGCACACCAAGAACAGAGGGGATTATTTTACTGAACTTCTTACCAGAATTAGTGTGTCCATGACATCTTTGCATATCTGTAAGCTGGTGTCACTTGTCACTTCCAGAAACAGATCACGGGTATCTTTTCTAATCTGTAAGAATTTCACAGGTAAAGCAAGTAAGGAATCGGAGCATGCTCACCCACAGTCACTTGGCAACGTTTTAATACACAAACTGAATGAAAGGAATCTGAGTCTGACAATCTAGCAGAGAAGACTCATGCTTGAAGATCTATATTTAGAATGCAATGACAAGTTTCACAGAACTGTATGTATCTCTGAATCCGCAGTGAAACATCTATCAGTAAAAAAACCCACTGTTTTATTCTGATTAATGTATTTCCACTATCCGAGAGTACCTTTGTTTTCTCACTATTGGTTATTGGTGGGAAGGAAATCACGCTGCCTTCGGCATCCACAAGACACGGGTAGTTCTCTTTGCCATCCAGTAACTGGAGATACCTGCCACGAAAAACAAAGCAGACAAAAGTGAGCAACTGAAACAGCAGCTGGCCAAGAATTTACTCTCGATGCTGCTAGAAATAACGGAAGGCATTCACCATCCTCATTTCACTCCAGGTTACTCTTTACGTATAAATTCAGCTCAGTGTTTTTCATCTCAACTCCTAAGAGCTCGTGCTGGGTTTGTTAGCCCATCACCAGCACAGAACATGCTTCATAATACAGCCGAGCATGTTTTTTTTCAGTGCTGTTTTTCCCTACGAGTATGAACTACCAAAATTCACCTGAAGACAAAATAAGAGATCAGAATACTGACTTGTGCAACCCAGAAACGTTCTGACGCTTCTTCTGTTTCCTCTGCTCCTCAGCTTCTAACTGCAGCTGACGGAGAAGATCCTTTGCCTTGATCTCCTTTCGACCCAGGGGCGCTATCTACACCACACGAGAAAACAAACGTTTGAATTAAGAGCGACTCAAACACTGGGGTTATTAAGACTCTCCTATAAGCAAGTCAATAATGAAAACCACACTTCTGTATGCTGTCATTCCCAACACCTTAACACTAGCTAGCTCCGGGAGGCTTGTTCAAGCAGGCTTTGTTATAGCAAGAAAATTAGTACAGCTTCTAAACTAAAGTTCCTGGAATTAGTTTTCTAGGATCTACGGGGTAAGGAAAAAAAAAAAAAAAATCTTTCCATTCTATACAAATCCAGAAAACAAAAGGAAAAAAGTGGAAAGGCCAACCAATGCCACTGGCCCTACCTTCAGTTCATCAGGAGGCCGAACATCATAAATCAGAGGACCTTTGATCAGCTGCAAGTCGTGGGTGGCAATTGTGGCTGCTGTCCGCTTCTCACAGATGTCTTCGTGCAGTTTAGTCTAAAATGTAAAGAACACCGTCCAAATATATCAAAAACATCAACATGACTTATTCCTCCTAAAGTTCAGCTTTCTTATATATTTAATGTTTGTAGCATTAGCAGCTAGCTGAGTAATCCTTTTGCATGAAACGGAGCCCTTCTCCTCACCTGTGAAATAATTTTATCTGAATTACAACCCAAACGTAAGGATAGTTTGCTATCAACACGTTCCACAGCACTAACAAGCTGTTACAGAGGAAATGCAGATGCATGTGTGTTCATCGCCCTCTCATGGTAACATCTCAGCTCGTCTTAGGTTCTCCAGGAAAACCAGTCACAGACTGGGCAGGGAGCACGCCGCAGGCAGAGGCCACGCTGCACTGCCATCCCGCCATCCCCTCACCACCTGCCAGGCGAAGAGCTCACCCGAGGTTTCAGAAACTTATCTGCAGGAAAGAGTCTAGAACATTTCCAACGCTGCTAGTAATGTTCCCATTGCAAACCAGTAACCCAAGACCGCAGCACTTACCTGTGTCGACAGGAACCTCTTCAGAGCATTTCCCGGCTTTAAGTTCACTCCCTTGAGCACGCAGCACACGATGAAGGGTCGAACATCTTTGATGCCTGGGCTCACTTTGACCACCAAGGGCGCCGGGTTTT